AAATGTTTTGTAAACCTATCTACAGTGACTGGTGTTAAATGTACCCAGGTTTCCAGATCGCAGAGGGCACCAGAACAGCATGCATCTCACCAGATCGACGGGAGGAAAAAAGAAATTCTGCAGTTGGACTAGGCCTTTGCTCACGGCACTGTGATGCGTTCAATGACTGCCAAATTATCACAAATTTCATACTTCGGAAAATTACCCGGGTTACATTTGCACTTAAATTTTCTTTACACATCAGTAGTGAGCCTTATGGTAAAAAGCTGTTTTCTTCAAAGCAAGCTAAAAGATAAATACTTAAAAAATGCACAGTGGTTACATTTGTAGATCCTTGGACAGTACACCTAGTGCGTTAATCCAGCATTTTAGGTTTTTTCATTGATTACACCCTGCAGGCAAAAAAAATGTGTTCTCGTTTGATCCTAAGACGAATGTTCACTGCAGTTTACGTTTACGTGACCATGCGTGTGCAAGTTTTAGAATGCATTTAAGCGCCTTGAGGCGACATTTGTTGTGATTTGGCGCTATATAAATAAAATTGAATTGAATTGAATTGAATTTAAATTTTTATCATAGTTCTTCTGGACATGTTACATGTAATATTCAAAATCCACATCAGTCAGATATTACTGAACATGGATCCCAGTTTAAATTAATTTGTGGGTGCGATATATTTCAAAGAGAAGCGAATCATCTGCTTTATATAAACAATCTCCAGTAAACAACACTTTCATTTATGTACATCTTTTTAAAACATTAGCTTTGATTTTCAAAAATGCAGAAGTTTCATGACATGAATAAACCAGCTACTGTATGTGTGAGGATTTTTGTGATGACAGATATTACAGATATCAACCATTATTCTCAAATGGCACAATGCAAATTTAAGTTTATGATGATGACTGAAACATCAAATTCCCCTAGGGTAGGGGTCAGCAACCTTTAAGAGCCGTTTGGACCCCGTTTCCACGGAAAAGAAAACACTGGGAGCCGCAAATAATTTTTGACATCTAAAATAAAGATAACGCTGTTATTGTTCTTTGCCTTTATGCATATGTATTAGAAAACAGTGGTTTCAATAAGTATCATTGACTGAACAATACACAAGTAAGTAACTGGTGATAATTGAGGTTTGAACTCAGTTCTTAGTTATGTTGAATCGTTCTCTGCAAGCTACGACTGTAGAATGTGTTTAGTCCGAAGGTTCAACTGAAAACATACTCCAGCGTGTTTGTGTATCAGTTTTAGCTTTGTGGCTAAAAAGAATCGTTCAACAAACAAAAACTTGTTTTGGCTTCGGTCTTAATGCCA